TTCAGCTTTTTAAAATCCTTGGGGTGAGAGAGCAGTTGGGATTAGGTGAGAAATTGAAGGATTTCTCAAGGTGCATGGGCTAGTATACTCCTTGACTACTCTGTACTAGCCCATACTCTGAAGGAGTATGGGCTACTATAATCTTTGTCATGTCAGTCCTTGATTTAGTGTGTTTGGGGTGTTCTTTGCTCATATTCCCATATATATATAATCACTTAACATTTTATAATTGTGTAAACATACCTAAGGCTCTAAAAGCCTAGAGAGGCAGTTCATTTTGCACCCTCAGCTAACCTTAAAAAAATACCCTTACAAAACACATATATTTTCTAAGATTCATACCAGTAAATCAGACCACTATTAGTCACGCCATAGTTGTTCTGCAGGGAGCAATTTTAAGAATATAAGAACCCAGCTGGTTCAGATCAAGGTTCATCTAATCTGACATCTGGAAAATCTTTGAAGTAGGAGTTTTGCAATGTAGCTCCTTCCCCCTCATGTTCCACAACTTGCATTATAAAAAGGCTTACTTTCTTTGATACTATAATTCTGCAGTATCAGAGTAATATGTTACAGCACTACTATAACTTCTTTTCCCAGGTTAATTGTTTTATTGCATTATAAAATACAAATAGAATATAGATACATTAAACTAAAATACTAATATGCATTATAGAATACAGATAATAACTGAGTACAGTGGTATTTATACAGTAGAAATTAGAAAACATTAACATTGTGATGATTAAGATATACTGAACCTTTTAAAGGTGAGAAAAAAGTTTATATCAAGGTTAAATATGATTTCTAGGATGTTAATGAACAAAAGATTGCTTATCTTGTACAATTCATGCTAACTATGACACTGATAAAAAGTTGCAAAATACATTAAATTATTGTATAATGTTAAAAAGGTTTCAGTTTTTGAGCTTAATATTTACTGCTTTTTATTTATTTTTATTGCTTTTAAAATAACAGAAAAAGAAAAAAGGGAACAAAATACAAAAATACATACATTGTCAAATAAAAATACATAACAAGTGAAAAGACTACAACAAAAAAAATAAAATATAATGTTGTTACAACAATAAACAGTTACAATTCTATATATAATTTTCTAATACAAACATGATGCAAACATATAAATATATTTATTTCTAATATACTTATATAACTATCATGCTTTTTTTTAACCTACTGTATTTTGCATAAATGAGTCCCATATTTCATTATATTTGTGCATATATTTATTTCTAATATACTTATATAACTATCATGCTTTTTTTTAACCTACTGTATTTTGCATAAATGAGTCCCATATTTCATTATATTTGTCCATACGAAGTCTACATCTATAGGCAATCCGCTCATAGGTGGCAAGTGCAATCAGTTCTTCAATCCATTGAATGAAAGGGCCAATGTGTTTATCTTTCCAATGCTGCAATCTCAATCTTTGGCCATAGTAAGGGCACGGAGAATCCATTACACTGTCCAGTTGTCAAATTCCACATACTAGGTATGTAATTCAAAAGAATATTATCCTCTGAGAATCTTAGTTTTTGTCGCATGGTCACATTTACATGGTCCACTACTTTCTACCAAAACTTAGTA